CCCCAAAACCCCAAAACCCCAAAACCCCATGCTTCATTATTATTCTAGAATAGGAATAAGTAAAATCATAATTTATTAAAGTAAGATCAAATATTGAGTAGTTGAGTGATCAACACTCAGGGCTAATTTCTATGATGCTTTAGAAGTCGTTTCATTTGCGACTGCACATACTAAATCAATTTTTCCTTCACGTCAGAGGTAATGTCGTATCTTTTAGAGAAATCTTCAGCTATTTGAGGCACATTGTCTCCCTCAAATATACTCAGTCTAGTGACTTAGTTATTGCCGTGCTTTATATCTACGTGAAGAAGTGGGACTTCTAAAGGATTCTACTGATTATTATCTTTGTTTAGACTTTCTGTTGTCTTCTCAGAGGCTGATTCATTCAACTCCTATATAATATAATTTTCAGGAGGTAGAATTCTATTTTGATTGACTAATGGCTTTGGCGAAGTCATTTATTGTGCCTGCTTAATGTAGTTATTATCAAGTTGATGATTTTTATGTGCTCCTGCTTAATTTATACTTTTCCTTTTTTTGTCTGGACTTGGAGTCCGAGATTATTTTTAACTCACTTTTAAAGGCTACATAGATCTTCTCTATTTATGAGGTATTTGAGTCATTTTTTTCTATTGACTTGCAATCTCTGCCTCTTTCTCAGCTTTCTCTTGCAATATCTATTTTTACAGCTTTTACTATTTAATACGAGCATAATCATTTAACTTTGAGAACACATCTTGCTGTTAAGCTAATGCCAAAGCCTTTTCCCTGGAAGTAGGAGATTTTTTATTTATTATTGGTTTGAATGTGCATTAACTGTCTTCCTAATCCTGCTGGTTTTTTCTTAGCTTATCCAATCTTTAGGATTTAATTCTCTAGAGATACTCAAACTGATCTGTAAGGCCAAGATTTTGCCTTCTGTCAATGCTATTGTTTGTTCCAAAGGATTTATCAGTCTAAGGAGAGAGTAGCTAGAGATACTTCTACCTACGCTTCTAGGACAAATTGCTATTTCTTGCAGATATTTTAGGAGAAAAGCTATGATTCAAGGATTGGTTCTAAGAAATGTTTAAAATGCTAACCTCTTTATTAATAATTCCAGTAAATCCTTTTAACTATGAAAGTTTGCTATCCTCTCTATGTTTTAACATGGACTAATATCTTTTAGCTTAATACTTGTCTTCCATAGTGCAGAATATAATTTTTCTAAGGAATTCCACAATATTTTCCTTTATCAGAGGACCTTAAATATCTTCTATGACATATTCAACTATTTAACTTTACTTATCATCTTTGTTTATTAGTTTTAGATTTTAGAGCAATTTTTAAAACTAGATGCTTGTCAGTTCATACTCATCTATGCTATCATATTGATTTTTGAGAAGCATCTGATTGAATTACTATTCAATTTCTTCCTAAATTTGTATAAAATTCTTTTACTTCCACTTTTCCTTGCTATTTTTGCGTTTCTAAATTTCAGCAGCTAGTCTTTAAGTTATCAAGCTCTCCTGCTTCTTCTGGTTTTTAATGGGATCTTCATTCAGAGCTTTTTATAGTTGATTGCGGCATGTTTGTAGCTCATTTACTTTACTTAGTATATTTCTTAGACTTTTTTCTCTCATCGACTTCGTAAGTGGTGTTGAGAGTCTTTTAAAAACCTGATCATCATTTTTAAGGACAAAACTTTTCTTAGATTTATTAAGACTTTAATTTTAGGTTTATCCCCTTGTTGAAATGTCTAATTTATTATAAGAAGTTTCTCTGTTGTATTTAAATTACTTTTACTTGGGAGATTTGTTAGAAGATTTTTTACCTGAATTCATATATTGAGATCCTGCCTACTACTATATCATAGAACTCTTTTCAAGAGCAGCATAATTTTTAACTTTCTTATCACTGTGATTATGAGTGTCATCATTTGAGAAGAAGATTTTATGCTATTTCTCTTTTTTACCCTTGCTATCTAAGAGGACCTACAACTCCTTTTCTGCAAGTTCTACCTACTTTCTCCTAAGGTTTTCCCTATACTTACTAGTAAAGATCTGCTATCTAGCATAAAATGAATCAAAATCAGATCCTATGTTGTTAAGCAAAATTTATGACTATTCTTGGCCCATTTTATCGTCTTCAACAGTCTAGCCAGATATCAGCTTCATATTTATACTATTGGTTTAATTTCTAGTCAGTGACAAGTCTGGCTTAAAAGTGCACTAATTTAGTACAGTTTCCTATTGTTATTAATGCTTTTACCTTTCTTAGTCTAAGCGCTTTTACTATACCTATCTTTGATAATCAGACATTCTATTAGTAAAACTTGCTATCACATTTTCCTTATTTTTTTGATGGATTTTAACAGATTAATCAGCTATTCTTGGTGAAAGTGTATAATTAAATACTGCTTAAGATTGAGACTAGCCAAGTGTTGGGTTAATTTAGGCTAGCTTATTTGCATCCAGCTATTTTTACTACTTTATGAACTTTTCCTTGCTAATCTCACCTCTCAAAAATTTCTGCATTAGTTAAGTTATCTTTTGATTATAATTGTCTTATTCTACATTTTCCTTACTCATAGTGTTATTATTTTTTGTATTCATCATTTTATTGTCTATAGTATTATGGAAACTACTATACTTATCTCGTTCCTATGATCTCTGCTTTCTCTGAGAAAAATCAGAGATCTTACTCTATGGCTATTTTTGTATCCTGTTTTGTGTTTTGTCCTGAATATTGAAAGGCTCTTCAAAGTTGTTCATCGGCGATTTCTCATCTAGTATTGTTGATTTTATAGTACTAGCAGATGATTAAGTAATCAATTTCTAACCCATCTAATTATTCCTGTATTATGAGACTCTATTAGTCATAGTATTCATATTTAGCTACTAAAGGACATCCAGTTTGAGCTAGGGTGCAATTAACTGGCTGTTCTGCCTCGTGCGAGTTTCCACACTCTATGGCTCATTAATTAGCAGCTTTTCCTCCTTTGGCTTCTTTTTATCTTTAAAAGCAATTTCTTTCTATTTTTAGTTCGCCCCCGAGTATCTAGTCGTAGCAGGTTTCTTCACGTCTTTTTGAAATATTTTTTGAGATTTAGTTGTTCCTAGCTTGTATGGGATTTACTCAGTGCCAAAGGAAGCAGTACTATTTCCTTTGCCTTAGTTATTCTATGCGGGAATAGAGGGGTTATTGGTCAAAGTTTAATGCCTTTAATGAGATGAGAGAATTGTCTTTTGTATATTTTTATCAGGAGAGTTAGCTTTAAATTACTAGAAGTCTTTCATGCTCTCTTTATTTATAATAATCTAGGAACTGTAGTTCTCATGAATGTTAATGGCTTTTGGGGATTTTACTGATTAAAAATTAGTGCTCACTGACTAATAATTTAAATTTGTAGGAGAGACCGTAGTTGAGGCAGCAAAAGACTAGACTAGATTATTGAGCTATAGTTGCAATCCTCCTCTAGTGAAGTCATTTTTCATTTTGTATTAGTTGCTATATATTATCTAGAATACAGAGGTTAAATATAAATTATATACTCTAGTATCTTCATTTGAAGGAGATTAAGTTTAATTGTTATACTAGGTTACTTTATCGAAGCTTTTAAGAATTGAGCCATCTAAAGTGCAATGCTATATTTTAGGATCAATAAATGATTATGCAGCTGAGAATCCCTCATCAAAGTCTTTAGAATCGCAATCTATAAAATTAGATTTGTACTAATAATAATCAATATAAATTACCCATTTCTTCATCAATAAAGATGTTTGGCTATAAATTGACTTGCTTGTTCATAAGATAGTTTTGAGGCAACTCTACTGTTTTGTCGATCGATATTGAAAATGACTTTTTATGAGATTTTTTAACGTTCATTAATAAATGCAAACTAATTATGATTATTTATTCTCCCCTTCATTTCCAATTCGAAACTGATGGGGTTTTGGGGTTTTGGGG